CGCCCCGCCACGTCCGCCCCGTCCAGCAGGCTGACAAGGTCATGCTGCAATGCCAAAATAATAACGGCATCGTGGTGGCGCGGCTCGGCGGTGCGCGGCGGGACCAGCGCGGCGCAGCGCGGCGTGCCTCGCGGATCGCTGCATCGCCACCGGCCACTGGCCTCTCGCTCCGCCCTGCTCTGCTGCTCCGCTCTGCCCATTGTGAAACAGCGAGCATCTCCAGACGAGGGGAGGGGGATTATTGTCCCTCTCACCGATCCCCTGCGCCGCCACCGCCGCCTGTTCGCTCAGGCCGCCGCGCCGCCACCGCGACCGGGCGCGGAGGACGTTTGCAGTGCAGAAAAAAAAATATAGCGAAAAACACCACCAGGTCTGTCCGGCCGGTGAATGCCTTGTGGCTGGGAGAGGCAGCAGCGGCCAGGCTTTTTGCCTTTTCCACATCCATCGGCGCCTCCGGTGGCGCGTGGTGGCGGGGCGTGAGCAGCTTGCTCAACTACGGTTTTGTGAGAACCCGGTGTGTGTGTGTGTGTGTGTTGTGCCCGGTGAGCACGTGTTATTCTTACGGTGGGAACAATTAAACGGAGGCATTGGGCCGCCATTTTTCCTTTTTGGGGCTCTTGCAATGTTTTTGTTGTTTTGTGTTCTCCGACGTGTAAAACACGGTGCAAAAGTTGCGAGCTGCTGTGTGTGAGCTGAAAGGGAGCCGGTGGCAAAAGGCATGGGAAATTCAGGCAACTCTTTTTGGTTTGGCGTCGTCTCACTTGTTTGTTTTTATTTTATTTACACCCGTTCTCGTCCTTAAATACGTACAGTGCGGCACTACGCCGCGCCCTCGCATGGCGTGGCGTGGCGCTGCCCTTGAAGAAAAATATTACAAAAGAGAAGGAGAGAGATAGAGAGAGACAAGATGAAGTGAATGGTAACTCTTAGTAAGTGCGTGATGGTGTGGATGAAAGGAACGAAACTCCCTACTTTGCTATCACGGTGAAAGAGGGGAGTTTCACGTCGTTGAGGTGCGTGGAGGTGGTGATGGCGATGACAGGATGATGGCGATCACATGGTGATGGCGAAGGGGTGATCACAGTCTTGCTTAGTAGTCGTAGTGTCCGTGGCCGTGGTGCTTCTCGATGTGCACGGGCACCGGGACTTCCTTGACGACCTTGACAGGGTAGGGCTGGGGCACGGCCACCTTGTAGGGCACCTGGACCGGGTAGGGCACGGCCTTCTCGACGGGGTAGGGGACAGCCTTCTCGACGTGCACGGGGTAGGGCTGGGGCACGTGGACGGGGTAGGGGCGGTCGACGGGCACCTTCACGGGCACGTGGACGAGCTTCTCTACGGGGTAGGGGACGGGCCTCTCGACGGGAATGTGCACGGGGATGGGCCTCTCGACGGGGACGTGGACAGGGACGTGGACGATCTTCTCGACGGGAACGGGCACCTCCTTGGTGACGTACACGGGGTAGGGCTTCTCAACGGGAACGGCACGGGGAACATCGTAGGGGACCTTGACGGGGTAGGGGACCTTCTTCTCGACGTGCACCGGGTAGGGCTGGGGGACCTTGACGTGCACCGGCACGGGGACCTTCTTGATGACGTGAACGGGGTAGGGCTTGTCGACGTGCACCGGGTAGGGACGGTCGACGGGCACCTTGACCGGGTAGGGGATGTGCTTGACGTGGTGCACGGGGTACGGCACGTGGTGCTCCTTGGTCAGGGTGATGGTCTTGACGCTCTCAGAATGGGAGTGTGCGCCGTGGTCGTGCCCGTAGCCGCCGTAGCCGCCCAGGTCGAGGCTGCTGTAGCTGTGGCTGCTGAGCCCGTGATCGCCGCCATAGCCGTAGCCGATGTCGACCAGCCCCCTCTTCTCCTGCTTCTTCTCGGCCTGCTTGGTGTCCTCGGCGAGCGCCACCGCCGCCAGCACCGCTACCAGCACCTATCGGACACAAACAAATACACACACACATTAGGCTCCCCTTCAGCTGAGGCGGGCCGCCGCTCACACGCCCTGGGCCGGGCCGGGGGCGGCTACCTGTCCTGGCAGGACTACAAAAAGAGTCGTTGCCAACTCTTGCACACGCGCTGGTCGCTCTCGCTCTGGTCCAGCTGGTCCAGCACCTCCTTCCCCCCTCCCCTGCACTTCTCCACCCCGTGACCCTCGCCGATAAGGCGCCGCGCTCTGCGCTGCCGTGCTGTGTGCGCGCGCACAACTACAACTGTATCTCTCCGCGGTTCGTTTTGCAACGGGTGGGGTTGTCGGCGCTGCCCACGGCCGGGGGAAGTCGTGAGCCGTTCGTCCAGGTCCAGACCCCCAGGCCCCAGGGCTAAGGGGTGGCCGCGGAAAATTTCCGAGACTTTAGAAGTTTTTCGTTATTTTCCGGAAATTTTCAAGAAATATTGTAGATTTTCCGGAAAATTTAGGAAATTTCCAACTCTAGGCGTTGCGTTCCACCAGACTTAGCTGCAATGCTACCCCCTCTCCCGCCCCTGCTGCACCCCCTCGCCTACTCGGTGTACCCCACCAGCGTCCCCCTTTTAGAGGAGGGCGTAAATCAAAGTGTGATAAAAAGGTATCGCTGCATCGGGGTGCCCGCGGCGGCCGTAACTCAAGCGCCGCGGCCGCCTGCTGAGCCCCGCCAAGGTCAGGGAGACAATGCCGCCATTTCTCATACACCCTCGTTGTCGGATTGAGTGAGTTGTATCCCTCCCAGTCATTGCGCTTGTTTGGCGCGCGCGGGGGGTTCGAAGTTTCGCGGCCCGAGCTGCGGCAGCAACGGCGGCGGCGGCAGCTGCAAGTGATTGGAAAGGCGTTATGTGGAACAAACGCGGCCGGGCCGGCTGCACCCGCTCGTGCTCGCCGCCCAGTTGTTGAGCCGCATAGCGTCAAGAGGAGAGCTCTTTGCGCAATGCGACACGATCGCTCTGCTGCGCGGCGGCTAAGGGCGCCTAATCCAGCGCCGTGGGGCGGGGCGGGGCGGGGCGGGATCACGGCGCTGTGCGGGCAGCAAAAGTATGGTAGCGACAGAGCGCGAGCAGTTTCACCGTACGCTGCACCGAGTCATGAATCAGGTTTTGTAGACACAGAGAGCGGCGACTACATAGGTGCTACAGCTGCAATAATAACCCCCCCCCCTCCCCCTATAAAAAAAAGCATTTTAGGAAAACTCTCTCTATTCTCTGTCGGTTTGCGCGGCGGTAGAATGAAGTAGTTTGAAGGATTAAAACGAGTACGCGCGCACGCGGGTGATAAAGAAAGAACGAGGGGGGTTGCGTCCCCGTTCGACGTTGCCGAGCGCACGACTCCCATTTCCCGGCGACGACTGCTGCTGCTGCAAAGGAATTTGTGGAAACATCGGCGTCCTCCATCCCATAGTCGGCCAGGTCCGACCCCGACGGCGCGGCGTGGGTGTTGCGCGGCGCGGGCAGTTCGAACACGAGCGGGCGGCCGGCCGGAAGCGGGGCTGCGCGGGGCGGGGGCAGGGCGGGGGTTGCTCCACGGCAGCCTCGGGATCTTCTTCCCCTGCGGACGGCCGGTGGCCCCGCGCGGCCGGTGGACCGGACCGGGACCGCGAGTGGGGGCGAAAGGGGCACGCACGGCTGCGCTCGGCCTCGGCCTTGGAGGAGGACGTCAGTCATGCTAAGGGACTCGT